TGAAAGACACTCTGGAGGTCCATCGAGGTCCAATACGTAGGGCTCTTGCCGCATCGCTTCCACTGACGCGTTTTCTGGGTTTTAGAATCAAGAGTAGCCAAATATGCTTTCAGTCAAAGTCGATTTTCTCAGCCATAATCGCTGCGAAATACCACGGCAGAAATGCTCTGAAGAGATCATTGACTAGGGTTTACATCTGTTTTACAATGGATGGTCAAAAATTATCCTGAAATTCGGCAACATACACATGGAAATGGGCAAAGACTTTCGGGACAACCTAGTTTACACCCTGCTGAATGATTCTAGTAAACTGAAGTAGCGTTTGGGCAGATTTTCCTGCATGGCTTTCGCCTTTTCCGGACTCTGGAAAAGGTGAAACCATTGAAACGTCGCCCTAATACTCATCTTCTACGCTTTTCTTGAACGCGCATCAGACAGAAAAACAAATCGTAATGGGCAAAATGAAAAAGCTGAAGAAAAAAGAAACTTATCACTGACTTCAGCGGTACATGGCTTATTCGGCTGTGAAAAGGCTGAAGTCGACGGTTCACCGCCAATACTCGTCGTGTTTGCTGGTTGAATCACGGTGTTACGGTAACGAGCACACATTTCCTAAATAGTTACAGAATACAACCAAAGAAATGTAAGCTTGGATTCAGCCAAGCCCGTTCGAAGCTTCTGTGACCACGCCCCATCGAAAATCAAGCATTGCTTTAATTTTAGTGTACACATAAAATGGGTTAATCGAGCGATAAGAGCTCGAAGAAATGCGAAAATCATTTTAATACCACAGAGGAAGAAAGTAAATGACAACATGATGCACTAAAAAAAGCTCTTCAATAAGAAGATCATTTCCTCAGAAATTTTATTTGGCCTACGCAACTATGTTTTGCAAAGCTAACCGGTGCCTGACCCAAAATATTTCGATCTTCTTCAATCACACCTTTTTCTCCCCTATCTTTATGCACATATTCAATTCGAAGCAATAGACTCCAGATAAGTGGAAGATTTCAATGGTACGGACACGGATCAATAGAAGCACGAAAAAGCATTCACAAACAGAATCAGCAAGAAATTTCGAAGTACAATCCCCTCCGACATCCACGACCTCCTCTTCCCAACTTTCACGGACTCCGAACGGCGACTCGGGGTAGGGACAACGAAGCGGTTAGAACTCTTGAATAATCTGGATGAAATTCATCATAGTCATAAATTCACTGAAATTTTGAAAAAACCTTTGGGAATTCCTCCAAGCTAGCTCCGCTAGTATGGCTCTCCTCCCGAACAAAAACTTCTCTAATTCTGCCTTGCCCTAGCCTCTTGCACCTTCTCTCCCTTTGTCATCAATTCGAAAAAAAGCGTAGAAAATTCAGGGCAAAAAAGCCCCTACTCTCACCTGGCTCACACGACGTTCCATGTCCATGAGTGCCGTAATAACTGAGGGCTGCGTTTCTGCAGGTTGTTCGGGAGCAGGAGCAGGACTCACGCGGGAACGCTTTGTTGGACTACTGCCCGTTGGATCTCGTTCAAATTGTATGGCTTAAAACGAAAACCATCTCCCAACAGATTCAAGTGAACTGGGACAAATTGCGCCAAACAACTGAGATTATGCAACACTTGCCCAAAGGCTTTCAAGGTTTTCGATATCTTATTGTTAGGTATGATTCACCAAAACATTTCTTGGCAGCTCCCCACTTCTACACAGCCATTT